CCAGTACATCGTTGTTATTATTATTTTGAGCAGTTACCTGTTAGACTAATTAAAGAACAAAATATTTTATCTTCATCTCTTCCTTCTCCAGTGCCCTCCCTTGTTTATGTAGAGCTGAGTTTCAGACCTATATCCATTTTCCTTCTTTCTGGGGAATTTCTTTTAAAGTTTCTTGCAAAGCAGGATACTGGTGACATATTCCCTAAATATCTGTCTGAGAAAGTCTGAGACTCTTTGATTGCTACACTTTTGATCGATAACTTTGCAGGCTGTAGAATTCCAAGTACTGATTTTTCTACTGAGAGTCTCATTTGTTTTGTTTTCGTTTTTACATATATTCAAAATGTCTGATCCTAGGAGGTATTTTAGAAACATATATAAGGACTCTTTTTTATCTTCTTGTATCATAGTGCCTAGAACATATTAATCACATATTAATTGCATGTTATTTTATTCTAAATTGTTTTGTGTTAGTGCATTAGGTTATTTAAAAAGTAAGAAAGTAGGAAGTGAAAGACGTATACCCTAAAAACTACAAGACACTCTTAAGAGAAATTAAAGAGGACACTAACAAATGGAACCTCATCCCATGCTCCTGGCTAGGAAGAATTAAAATCGTCGAAATGGCCATCCTGCCCAAAGCAATATACAGATTTGATGCAATCCCTATCAAATAACCAAGAACATTCTTTAATGAATTGAAACAAATAGTTCAAAAATTGATATGAAAACACCAAAGACCCCGAATAGCCAAAGCAATCCTGAGAACGAAGAATAAAGTGGGAGAGATCTCGCTCCCCAACTTCAAGCTCTACTACAAAACCACAGTAATCAAGACAATTTGGTACTGGCACAAGAATAGAACTACAGACCAGTGGAAAAGAATAGAGACTCCAGACATTAACCCAAACATATATGGTCAATTAATATACGATAAAGGAGCCATGGATAATACAATGGGGAAATGACAGTCTCTTCAACGGATGGTGCTGGCAAAACTGGACAGCTACAGTTAAGAGAAGAAACTGGATCACTGTCTAACCCCATGCACAGAGGTAAATTCGAAATGGATCAAAGACCTGAATGTGAGTCATGAAACCATAAAACTCTTAGAAAAAAACATAGGCAAAAAACTCTTGGACATAAACATGAGTGACTTCTTCATGAACATATCTTCCTGGGCAAGGGAAACAAAAGCAAAAATGAACAAATGGGACTATATCAAGCTGAAAAGCTTCTGTACAGCAAAGGACACCATCAATAGAACAAAAAAGTACCCTATAGTATGGGAGAATATATTCATAAATGGCAGATCTGATAAAGGGTTGACATCCAAAATATATAAAGAGCTCACACACCTCAACAAACAAAAAGCAAATAATCCAATAAAAAAATGGGCAGAGGATCTGAACAGACCATTCTCCAAAGAAGAAATTCAGATGGCCAACAGACACATGAAAAGATACTCCACATCGCTAGTCATCAGAGAAATGCAAATTAAAACCACAATGAGGTATCACCTCACACCAGTAAGGATTGCCACCATCCAAAAGACAAACAACAACAAATGTGGGCCAGGTTGTGGAGAAAGGGGAACCCTCCTACACTGCTGGTGGGAATGTAAATTAGTTTGACCATTGTGGAAAGCAATGGAGGTTCCTCAAAAATCTCAAAATAGAAATACCATTTGACCCAGGAATTCCACTTCTAGGAATTTACCCTAAGAATGCAGCAGCCCAGTTTGAAAAAGACAGATGCACCCCTGTGTTTATCACAGCACTATTTACAATAGCCAAGAAATGGAAGCAACCTAAGTGTCCATCAGTAGATGAATGGATAAAGAAGATGTGGTACATATACACAATGGAATATTATTCAGCCATCAGAAGAAAACAAATCCTACCATTTGCAACAACATGGATGGAGGTAGAGGGTATTAGGCTCGGTGAAATAAGCCAGGCGGAGAAAGACAAGTACAAAATGATTTCACTCATCTGTGGAGTATAAGAAGCAAGAAAAACTGAAGGAACAAAACAGCAGCAGAATCACAGAACCCAAGAATGGACTAACAGTTACCAATGGGAAAGGGACTGAGGATGATGGGTGGGAAGGGAGGGATAAGGGTGGGGAAAAAGAAAGGGGGCATTACGATTAGCATGTATAGTGTGTGTGGGGGGCATAGGGAGGGCTGTGCAACACAGAGAAGACAAGTAGTGGCTCTACAGCATCTTACTACCCTGATGTACAGTGACTGTGATGGGGTATGTGGGGGGGACTTAGTGAAGTGGGGAGCCTAGTAGACCTAATGTTCTTCATGTAATTGTAGATTAATGATAACAAAATAAAAAAATAAAAAAGAAGAAGGTTATGCTACTTATGAATTTCACTTCATGATGGCAAAAAGGGCATTACAAAATATTTTTAAAAAATGGTGGTGGTGTGGAGGATATCAGGTTTAGCTAGGTTGAGACCACTTATCTCGATATTAATCTCTTGTTGCATTTTGGTATTTCCAAATACTTTTTCTCAACCTATCACCCATTGGTTAACCTTGTCTTTATTATATATTGTGCTTTAAAAAAATAGTTTTATAGAGATATAATTCACATACCAATATAGTTCACCCATGTAAAGGGTACAATTCAGTGTTACTGGTATATTACTAATTAAAAATCTGTGTAAAATACATGAAAATTTTGCCATTTTAAGTGTACAACTCAGTGGCATTATATTCACAGCATTGTGCTACCATCACCACTATGCATTTCCAAAAATGTTCATCAAACTAACATCTGCAACCATTGAGGATTAACTCCCCATTCTCCCTCCTCCCCAGCCTTGGGTAACATCTGACCCACTTTGTGTCTCTGTGAAGTTGCCTATTCTAGGCACCCATATAAGGGGGATCATACAATATTAGTTTCTTTTTGACTGGCTTTTTTTTACTTAGGTTAATGTTTTTAAGGCTCATCCATGTGTAGCATGTATGGAATTTCATTTTATTTTATGGCTGAATAATACTCTTTTATAAGTACATACATTTTGGTTTCCATTCATCTGTTGATGGACATTTGAATGTTCTTTTGGCCAAGTGTATAGTTATGTATGGAACACTGGCATGTAAGTATCTTCTTGAATTCCTAGAAGTGGAATTGCTTGATTTTATGGTTATTCCATGGTTAGATTTTTGACGAACCTGTTTACCATGAATGGCAGCATCACTTTAAATTCCCACCAACAATGTATGAGGGTTCCAATTTCTCCACATCCTCATCAAAACTTGATTATTTGCAATTTTTTGATAATAGCCATCCTAATAGATGTGAATTGGTTTTGATTTGTGTTTCTCTAATGGCTAATGATGTTGAGCACTTTTATGTGCTAAGTTGCCATCTATGTATCTTCTTTGGAGAAATATCTGTTCAAGTCCTTTGTTTTTTAAATCTGGTTACATATATGTGATTTGTGAATATTTTCTTCCATTCTGTGAATTCTTTTTACTCTCAACAGTTTCCTTTGATACAAACACATTTAAAATTTTGATGATCAAATTACCTATTTTCTTTTGTTGCCTGTGCTTTTGGTTTCATATCTAAGAAATTATTGCCAAATCCAATGTCATGAGCTTATCCCCTGTGTTTTTTTCTAAGAGCTTTATAGTTTCATCTCCTGATTGGAGTTTGTTGAGCTTCTTGGGTGTGTATATTCATGGCTATCATGAGATTTGGGAAGTTTTCAGCCATTATTTCTTCAAAATGTTTTTCTGCCCCCTTTTCTCTCTCTCTTATGCTGGGATTGATATAATGCATCCTCTTGTTCATTTGATACTGTTCCACAGATTCCTCAAACTGTTCATTTTTCTTTCTTTCTGTTCCTCATAACTGCATACTTTCAAATGCATTATCTTCAGACTCACTGATGCTTCCTTCTGCCTGTTCAAGTCCGTCACTTAATCTCCCTGTTATGGAAAATACTGAAAAAAACCTGGACTGGATCACTGATGGGAAAACGAAGCAGCACTCAGAGGTCTTGGAGTGTTGAGGCTTAATTTCACACTGGCGGGATCAGAGGAGAGTAATCACCCAAAAGTTCTGAGCCCCGAACAAAGGCAAAGGGAGCAGTATATACCTTTCTGCTTCCAGATCTGTAACCTTCCTATGTGCACAGCAAGCGGGCAGGCGAGGGGGAGGGCGTTTAGGGAGCGAACCTTGGAACCAGTGCTCGGCAGATTCCGAAACCAATTAATTGTCTTGCCAATGGGTTTCAACCCTGGGCAAGTTCCCAGTGGATTCAGTGTGACCAAAGGAATCGACAGCAAAATGTTCTTGTGGTAAAAGGGTTTATTACCAGGCCTGTTCTCCGGTGGTAGGTCGATCACTAGCATCTCTGCCTCCACTCAGAGCACCAGGCCAACCTCTTGTATAGTCCAATAATAGCTTATTGCCCAAAGGTGTGGAAGCAGTAGCCTAGCAAAAGACGAGTTTCATCATCAAGAAGTTTAAGTTCAGGGAGGATCCTTGCCATAGGAACCCCATCTTCCCCACACTGCCCCCCTCCAGTATTCTTGCCTTACAATCTACATGCTTTCAATCTTTCACAATGGTCCCTGTGCAAAAAAACTGGAGCACTGTAAACACATGGCACAATAGCAAGGAAAGGTAATAGCAACTTAGTGATAAAAAGAATTAAGATACAGCAAGATATTGAAACACTTAACAAAAATTATAATAATCCTTAAGCCAGGTTAGGTTCCTACAAACAAAATTTATAATAATCCTCAAGCCAGAGGAAGTTCCCAGTGCATAAAACTTTAGGGACAATATGACACATGTTATAAAGCCACCAACAAAGGCAAATCTTGTCCTTCAGGTAGGATGCATGCATGAGGGTGGATCAGTGATAGGGATGCCGAAGGCAGGTGGTCACTTCTATGTCTAGTGTTCCATACTTTTAATTTTTTTCCCATGGGGGTTACTGAAGGGTCTGTATATAGTGCTACTGGAGGTGCACGCACAGGCCATAACAATAAAAAAAAAACTCCCCGGTAAGACCCTCCAACCTTCTGGGCATGCAGGATATAATACTGTGATCTTTGGTGGCCTCACGCCAGTTATGCCAGGGTACACAGTAGGCTAGCTTCAGGGCCATGTACTCAAGGTTCCAGGAGAGCCCAACATCACTGGTCCATGTGTCAAAAAGTGTATGACCACGTCCACTCAATGGAGTCTCGGTGCATCTGTGATATTGGTGGTGAAAGGAAGACGTTATTCTGGTTGCCAAACCTCGGCTTCAGTTTTTCTTCCTTGGTTTCTACTTGCAGTTGTATAGGGGAGGCATCTATAGGTGTTAACACGTACACTGAGCTCTGGGTTTCTTTTTGTGTTTCATGGTTGAAGATGTAGCCTAGCAACAGGACAGTTACATCACAAAGTGGTTGAAGATCAGTGAGGATCCTGGCCATAGGAACCCCATCTTCCCCACACTCCCCCCTCCAGTATTCTCACCTTTTAATCCACACTATTTAAATCATCTGCAATGGTCCCTGCGCAAAAAAACTGGAGAAATGTAAACACATGTGAAAGTAGCAGGATAAGATAATAGTCACTTAGTGATAATAAAAATTAAGATATAGCAGTATTTTGATATACTTAACAAAAATTGTAATAATTCTCATGGCAGATTAGGTTCCTAATAACAAAAGTTATTATAATCCTCAAGCCAGAGGAAGTTCTCAGTGCATGAAGACTTCAGGGGTGAGAAGCAGATGTTTTAAAGCCACCAGCAAAGGCAAATCTTGTTCTGCAGTTAGAATGCATGCATCAGAGTGGATCTGTGATAGGACTCCTGCAGGCAGGCGGTTCCTTCAAGGTCTAGTATAACATACTTTTACTTTTTTCCCCATGGGGGTTACTGAAGAGTCTATATGTGTAGTGCTACTGGGGGTGCATGCACAGGCCATAGTGATGAAACAGACCTCCAAGTAGGATGCTCCTACCTTTCACCATTCAGGATAAGTTACTGTGAGCGATTGTGGCCACTCAGCTATTATGAGAGTAATAGAAATGAGGCCAGCTTCCAGGCCATGTCCAGAATAATAAAACAAAAGACCCCGATAAGATGCTCCTACCTCTGGAGGTTCAGGATATAATACTGTTATCTTTGGTGGCCCCCCTGCTGTTATGCGAGGATACACAGGAGACCAGCTTCCAGGCCATGTCCTCAAGGTGCTAGGAGAGCCAGACATCATTGGTCCATGTGTCAAAAGGTGCATGGCCACGTCCACCCAATGGCGTCTCCAGGATTCTGTAGAGTTGGCACAGTCAGGAACAAGTTATTCTGATGGCTGAACCTAGGCTTTACCAATTCTTCCACTGTTTCTACTTCCAGTTGTATACAGGAGGCATCCATAGGTGTTAACATATACACTGAGCTCAGAGCTTCCTATTTGAGTTTCTCTGTTGAAGCCGTACCCTAGCAAAAGGCCAGTTACATCAAAAAGTGGTTGAAGTTCAATGAGGATCTTGGCCATAGGAATCCCTTCTTCTCAACACTACCCACCACCAGTATTTCTAGCATATAGTCCACACTCTTTAAATCTTCCACAATAGTGCCTGTGCAAAAAAAATGGAGCACTGTAAACACATGCCACAATAGCAAAAGAAGAAAATAGCTATTTAGTGATATTAAGAATTAAGATACAGCAAAATTTTGATACACTTAACAAAAACTTTAATAATCCTCAAACCAGATTTATGTTCCTAATAAGAAAAGTTATAATAATCCTCCAGCTAGAGAAAGTTCCCAATGCATAAATACTTTAGGGGTTATAAGACACATGTTTTAAAGCCACCAAAAAGGCAAATCTTGCCTTCAGGTACGATGCATGTAAGAGAGTGGATTTGTGATAGGACTGCCGCAGGCAGGCGGTCCCTTTAGGGTCTAGTATATCACAATTCTGAATTTTTCCTCATGGTGGTTACAGAAGGGTCAATATATAGTGCAATTTGAGGTAGAAGCACAGGACAAATTAATAAAACAAAACTCCCTGGTAATGTGTTCGTACATTCTGAACATTGAGGATATAATACTGTGAACATTGGCAAACACCCAGCTGTTATGCCAGGATACAGCGGAGGCCAGGTATAAAAGTGATGTTCTCAAGGTACCAGGAAGGGCCAGCCATGATTTCTCCATGTGTCAAAGGGTGCACGGCAAAGTGCACTCAATGTAGTCTCTGTAGATTCATGCAGTTGGTGCTCCTAGAAAAACATTATTCTGGTTCCCAAACTTTGGCTTCAGTGATTCTTCCTTCACTGTACTTGCAGTTGTATAAGGGAGGCATCCATAGGTGTTAACATACCAACTGCGTTCAGGACATTCTTTCTGAGTTCCTCTGTTGAAGCTGCAGCCTAGCAACAGGCCAGTTACATCACAGAGTGGTCCAAGTTCATAGGAATCCCATCCTCCCCACACTCACCCCTTCCAATATTCTGGACCTACAATCCATGCTCTCTAAATCTTCCACAATGGTCCCTGTGTGGGAAAGCTGTAGCAGAGTAACCGTGTACAAGAGCAAGAGGGGATAAAGGCAACTTGGAGATCACGAGAATTAAGATACTGCAAGATTTTGATACACGTAGCAAAAATTATCATAATACTCAAGCCAGATGAGTTTACTAATAACAAAGGTTACAATAATCCTCAATCCATGGAAGTTCCCAATGCATAAAGACTTGAGGTGTGATAAGACACATGCTTGAAAGCCACCAACATTGGCAAATCTTGTCCTTCAGGTAGGATGCATGCATGAGAGTGGATCTGTGATAGGACTATAGCAGGCAGGCGGTTCCTTCAAGGTGTAGTGTGCCATAGTTTTAATTCTTTCCATGTCAGGTTCACCGAGGGCTTTATATATAGTGCTACTGGAGGTGCATGCAACGGTCATAGTGATAAAACAGATCACCCCGGTGAGATGCTCCTACATTCTGGCCGTACAGGGTAAATTGTTGTGAACTTTGCTGGCCACCCAGCTATTAGGAGAGGAATACACATGAGGCCATGTCACCAAGGTGTCAGTTGAGCCAGCCATTTGGTCCATGTGTCGAAAGTTCCTTTGCCACGTCCAATCAGTGCACTCTCCCGGGTTCTGTGAAGTTGGCGCTGGCCGCAAGATGATATTCTGATGCCAAACCTCTGCTTCAGTGGTTCTTCCTTGGTTTCTACTTGCAGTAGTGTCAGGGAGGCATCCATAGGTGCAAACACGTACACTGAGGTCAGGCCTCCTTTGTGAGTTTCACTGTTGAAGATGTAGCCTAGCAACAGGCCAGTTTCATCACAAAGTGGTGGATGTTCAAAGGATTTTCTCCACAGGAACCCATTTTCCCCATACAGACCCCCTCCGGTAGTATTGCCTTACAATCCACACTCTCTAATTCTTCCGCAATGGGCCCTGTGTGAAAAAGCTTGAGCACCGTAAACACATGCCAACACAGCAAGAGTGAATAACCGCGACTAACAGATATCAGAAACGAGATGAAGCGAGATTTTGAGACAGGTATCAGAAATTATAATAATCCTCAAGCCAGATGAGGTTTCAAATAACAACAGTTGTAATAATCCTCAATCCAATGGAAGTTCCCAACGCATAAAGTCTTTGGGGTCAATAAGACGCACGTTTCGAACCATCGGCCAATGCAAATTTTGCTCTTCATGTAGGATGCATGTGCTTGAGAGTGAAACTGCGGTCGGACTGGAGGAGGCAGACAGTCCCATCAAGGTCTGGTGCACCATTATTTTACTTTTTTCCCCATGTGGGGTACTGGAGGGCCTGTACACAGTGCTACTGGAGGTGCATGAACAGGCCATAATGGTAAAACAGAACCGTCCGTAAGATGCTCCTATTTTCCGGTTGTTCATGGTAAGTTATGTGAACTTTTCTGGCCAACCAGGTATTAATACAGGAACAGACATGAGGCCAGCTTGCAGTCCATGTCAACAAGGTGCCCGTAGAGCCAGCCATTGCTCCATGTGTCAAAATTTCCATTGCCACGTCCAATTAATGAAATCTCCCGGGATACATGAAGTTGGCGCTGGCAGCAACATTTTATTCTGTTGGCCCCGCATCTGTTCAGTGATTCTTCCAAGGTCGGTATTGGCAGTTGAAGAGGGCAGGCATCCATTGGTGTTAACATGTACACTGAGATCAGATCTTCCATTGTGAGATACTCTGTTGAAGATGTAGCCTAGCAACAGGCCAGTTACATCACAAAGTGGTTGATGTTCAAAGAGGATTTTCGCCATAGGAATCCATTCACCCCATACTATCCACTCCAGTAATCTCACCTTATAATACACAGTCTTTACATGTGCCCCAATGGTCCCAGTGCAAAAAAAACTGCAGCACTGTAAACACATGCCACAGTAGCAAGGAAAGATAATAGCAACTTAGTGATCATAAGAATAAAGATACAGCAAGACTTTGATACATTAAACAAAAATTATGATAATCCTTAAGGCAGATTAGGTACCTAATAAGAAAATTTATAATATTCCTCAAGTCAGACGACGTTCCCAGGGCACTAACCTTTAGGGGCAATAAGACACATGTTATGAATCCACCAACAAAACTGTCCGGTAAGATGCTCCTACCTTCTGGATGTGCAGGATATAAAACTGTGAAGTCTGGTGGGCACACGGCAGTTATGCCAGGATACACAGGATTCTACCTTCCAGGCCAAGTTCTCCAGGTGCCAGGAGAGCCAGACGTCACTGGTCCATGTGTCAAAAGGTGTATGACCACGTCCACTCGATGGAGTCTCCATGATTCCATGCTGTTGGCGGCGAAACAAAGATGTTATTCTGCTTGCCAAATGTCCGCTTCAATTTTTCTTCCTTGGTTTGTACCTGCAGTTGTATACGGGAGACATCCATAGGTGTTAACATGTAACCTGAGCTCAGGACTTCCTTTCTGAGCTCCTCTGTTGACGCTGTAGCCTAGCAACAGGCCAGTTACATCACAGAGTGATCCAAGATCAGTGAGGATCCTGGCCATAGGAATCCCATCTTCCCCACACTCCCCCGCCCCTCCAATATTCTGGACCTACAATCCATGCTCTCTAAATCTTCCACAATGGTCCCTGTGTGGGAAAGCTGTAGCAGAGTAACCGTGCACAAGAGCAAGAGAGGATAACAGCAACTTGGAGACCATGAGAATTAAGATACCGCAAGATTTTGATACACGTAACAAAAATTATCATAATACTCAAGCCAGATGAGTTTACTAATAACAAAGGTTACAATAATCCTCAATCCATGGAAGTTCCCAATGCATAAAGACTTGAGGGGTGATAAGACACATGCTTGAAAGCCACCAACATTGGCAAATCTTGTCCTTCAGGTAGGATGCATGCATGAGAGTGGATCTGTGATAGGACTATAGCAGGCAGGCGGTTCCTTCAGGGTGTAGTGTACCATACGTTTAATTCTTTCCACGTCAGGTTCACGGAGGGCTGTATATATAGTGCTACTGGAGGTGCATGCAAAGGTCATAGTGATAAAACAGATCATCCCGGTGACATGCTCCTACATTCTGGCCGTTCAGGGTAAATTATTGTGAACTTTGCTGGCCACCCAGCTATTAGGACAGGAATACACATGAGGCCATGTCACCAAGGTGGCAGTTGAGCCAGCCATTTGGCCCATGTGTCGAAAGTTCCTTTGCCACGTCCAATCAGTGCACTCTCCCGGGTTCTGTGAAGTTGGCGCTAGCCGCAAGATGATATTCTGATGCCAAACCTCTGCTTCAGTGGTTTTTCCTTGGTTTCTACTTGCAGTAGCGTAGGTGAGGCATCCATAGGTGCAAACACGTACACTGAGGTCAGGCCTCCTTTGTGAGTTTCACTGTTGAAGATGTAGCCTAGCAACAGGCCGGTTTCATCACAATGTGGTGGATGTTCAAAGGATTTTCTCCACAGGAACCCATTTTCCCCATACAGACCCCCTCCGGTAGTCTCGCCTTGCAATCCACACTCTTTAAATCTTCCGCAATGGGCCCTGTGCGAAAAAGCTTGAGCACCATAAACACATGCCAACACAGCAAGAGTGCATAACCGCGACTAACAGATATCAGAAACGAGATGAAGTGAGATTTTGAGACAGGTATCAGAATTATAATAATCCTCAAGCCAGATGAGGTTACAAATAACAACAGTTATAATAATCCTCAATCCAATGGAAGTTCCCAACGCATAAAGTCTTTGGGGTCAATAAGACGCACGTTTCGAACCATCGGCCAATGCAAATTTTGCTCTTCATGTAGGATGCATGTGCTTGAGAGTGAAACTGCGGTCGGACTGGAGGAGGCAGACAGTCCCATCAAGGTCTGGTGCACCATTATTTTACTTTTTTCCCCATGTGGGGTACTGGAGGGCCTGTACACAGTGCTACTGGAGGTGCATGAACAGGCCATAATGGTAAAACAGAACCGTCCGTAAGATGCTCCTATTTTCCGGTTGTTCATGGTAAGTTATGTGAACTTTTCTGGCCAACCAGGTATTAATACAGGAACAGACATGAGGCCAGCTTGCAGTCCATGTCAACAAGGTGCCCGTAGAGCCAGCCATTGCTCCATGTGTCAAAATTTACATTGCCAAATCCAATTAATGAAATCTCCCGGGATACATGAAGTTGGCGCTGGCAGCAACATTTTATTCTGTTGGCCCCGCATCTGTTCAGTGATTCTTCCAAGGTCGGTATTGGCAGTTGAAGAGGGCAGGCATCCATTGGTGTTAACATGTACACTGAGATCAGATCTTCCATTGTGAGATACTCTGTTGAAGATGTAGCCTAGCAACAGGCCAGTTACATCACAAAGTGGTTGATGTTCAAAGAGGATTTTCGCCATAGGAATCCATTCACCCCATACTATCCACTCCAGTAATCTCACCTTATAATACACAGTCTTTACATCTGCCCCAATGGTCCCAGTGCAAAAAAAACTGCAGCACTGTAAACACATGCCACAGTAGCAAGGAAAGATAATGGCAACTTAGTGATCATAAGAATAAAGATACAGCAAGACTTTGATACATTAAACAAAAATTATGATAATCCTTAAGGCAGATTAGGTACCTAATAAGAAAATTTATAATATTCCTCAAGTCAGACGACGTTCCCAGGGCATAAACCTTTAGGGGCAACAAGACACATGTTATGAACACACCAACAAAACTGTCCGATAAGATGCTTCTACCTTCTGGACGTGCAGGATATAAAACTGTGAAGTCTGGTGGGCACACGGCGGTTATGCCAGGATACACAGGATTCTAGCTTCCAGGCCAAGTTCTCCAGGTGCCAGGAGAGCCAGACGTCACTGGTCCATGTGTCAAAAGGTGTATGACCACGTCCACTCGATGGAGTCTCCATGATTCCGTGCTGTTGGCGGCGAAACAAAGATGTTATTCTGCTTGCCAAATGTCGGCTTCAATTTTTCTTCCTTGGTTTGTACCTGCAGTTGTATAGGGGAGGCATCCATAGGTGTTAACATGTAACCTGAGCTCAGGACTTCCTTTCTGAGCTCCTCTGTTGACGCTGTAGCCTAGCAACAGGCCAGTTACATCACAGAGTGCTCCAAGATCAGTGAGGATCCTGGCCATAGGAATCCCATCTTCCCCACACTCCCCCCCCCCTCCAATATTCTGGACCTACAATCCATGCTCTCTAAATCTTCCACAATGGTCCCTGTGTGGGAAAGCTGTAGCAGAGTAACCGTGCACAAGAGCAAGAGAGGATAACAGCAACTTGGAGACCATGAGAATTAAGATACCGCAAGATTTTGATACACGTAACAAAAATTATCATAATACTCAAGCCAGATGAGTTTACTAATAACAAAGGTTACAATAATCCTCAATCCATGGAAGTTCCCAATGCATAAAGACTTGAGGGGTGATAAGACACATGCTTGAAAGCCACCAACATTGGCAAATCTTGTCCTTCAGGTAGGATGCATGCATGAGAGTGGATCTGTGATAGGACTATAGCAGGCAGGCGGTTCCTTCAGGGTGTAGTGTACCATACGTTTAATTCTTTCCACGTCAGGTTCACCGAGGGCTGTATATATAGTGCTACTGGAGGTGCATGCAAAGGTCATAGTGATAAAACAGATCACCCCGGTGAGATGCTCCTACATTCTGGCCGTTCAGGGTAAATTATTGTGAACTTTGCTGGCCACCCAGCTATTAGGACAGGAATACACATGAGGCCATGTCACCAAGATGGCAGTTGAGCCAGCCATTTGTTCCATGTGTCGAAAGTTCCTTTGCCACGTCCAATCAGTGCACTCTCCCGGGTTCTGTGAAGTTGGCGCTGGCCGCAAGATGACATTCTGATGCCAAACCTCTGCTTCAGTGGTTCTTCCTTGGTTTCTACTTGCAGTAGTGTAGGGGAGGCATCCATAGGTGCAAACACGTACACTGAGGTCAGGCCTCCTTTGTGAGTTTCACTGTTGAAGATGTAGCCTAGCAACAGGCCAGTTTCATCACAAAGTGGTGGATGTTCAAAGGATTTTCTCCACAGGAACCCATTTTCCCCATACAGACCCCCTCCGGTAGTATTGCCTTACAATCCACACTCTCTAATTCTTCCGCAATGGGCCCTGTGTGAAAAAGCTTGAGCACCGTAAACACATGCCAAAACAGCAAGAGTGAATAACCGCGACTAACAGATATCAGAAACGAGATGAAGCGAGATTTTGAGACAGGTATCAGAAATTATAATAATCCTCAAGCCAGATGAGGTTTCAAATAACAACAGTTATAATAATCCTCAGTCCAATGGAAGTTCCCAACGCATAAAGTCTTTGGGGTCAATAAGACGCACGTTTCGAACCATCGACCAATGCAAATTTTGCTCTTCATGTAGGATGCATGTGCTTGAGAGTGAAACTGCGGTCGGACTGGAGGAGGCAGACAGTCCCATCAAGGTCTGGTGCACCATTATTTTACTTTTTTCCCCATGTGGGGTACTGGAGGGCCTGTACACAGTGCTACTGGAGGTGCATGAACAGGCCATAATGGTAAAACAGAACCGTCCGTAAGATGCTCCTATTTTCCGGTCGTTCATGGTAAGTTATGTGAACTTTTCTGGCCAACCAGGTATTAATACAGGAACAGACATGAGGCCAGCTTGCAGTCCATGTCAACAAGGTGCCCGTAGAGCCAGCCATTGCTCCATGTGTCAAAATTTGCATTGCCACGTCCAATTAATGAAATCTCCCGGGATACATGAAGTTGGCGCTGGCAGCAACATTTTATTCTGTTGGCCCCGCATCTGTTCAGTGATTCTTCCAAGGTCGGTATTGGCAGTTGAAGAGGGCAGGCATCCATTGGTGTTAACATGTACACTGAGATCAGATCTTCCATTGTGAGATACTCTGTTGAAGATGTAGCCTAGCAACAGGCCAGTTACATCACAAAGTGGTTGATGTTCAAAGAGGATTTTCGCCATAGGAATCCATTCACCCCATACTATCCACTCCAGTAATCTCACCTTAAAATACACAGTTCTTTACATGTGCTCTAATGGTCCCAGTGCAAAAAAAACTGCAGCACTGTAAACACATGCCACAGTAGCAAGGAAAGATAATGGCAAGTTAGTGATCATAAGAATAAAGATACAGCAAGACTTTGATACATTAAACAAAAATTATGATAATCCTTAAGGCAGATTAGGTACCTAATAAGAAAATTTATAATATTCCTCGAGTCAGACGACGTTCCCAGGGCATAAACCTTTAGGGGCAATACGACACATGTTATGAATCCACCAACAAAACTGTCCGGTAAGATGCTCCTACCTTCTGGACGTGCAGGATATAAAACTGTGAAGTCTGGTGGGCACACGGCGGTAATGTCAGGATACACAGGATTCTAGCTTCCAGGCCAAGTTCTCCAGGTGCCAGGAGAGCCAGACGTCACTGGTCCATGTGTCAAAAGGTGTATGACCACGTCCACTCGATGGAGTCTCCATGATTCTGTGCTGTTGGCGGCGAAACAAAGATGTCATTCTGCTTCCCAAATGTCGGCTTCAATTTTTCTTTCTTGTTTTGTACCTGCAGTTGTATAGGGGAGGCATCCATAGGTGTTAACATGTAACCTGAGCTCAGGACTTCCGTTCTGACCTCCTCTGTTGACGCTGTAGCCTAGTAACAGGCCAGTTACATCACAGAGTGCTCCAAGTTCAGTGAGGATCCTGGCCATAGGAATCCCATCTTCCCCATACTTCCCCCCCTCCAATATTCTGGACCTACAATCCATGCTCTCTATATCTTCCACAATGGTCCCTGTGTGGGAAATCTGTAGCAGAGTAACCGTGCACAAGAGAAAGAGAGGATAACAGCAACTTGGAGACCATTAGAATTAAGATACCGCAAGATGTTGATACACGTAACAAAAATTATCATAATACTCAAGCCAGATGAGTTTACTAATAACAAAGGTTACAATAATCCTCAATCCATGGAAGTTCCCAATGCATAAAGACTTGAGGGGTGATAAGACACATGCTTGAAAGCCACCAACATTGGCAAATCTTGTCCTTCAGGTAGGATGCATGCATGAGAGTGGATCTGTGATAGGACTATAGCAGGCAGGCGGTTCCTTCAGAGTGCAGTGTACCATACGTTTAATTCTTTCCACGTCAGGTTCACCGAGGGCTGTATATATAGTGCTACTGGAGGTGCATGCAAAGGTCATAGTGATAAAACAGATCACCCCAGTGAGATGCTCCTACATTCTGGCCGTTCAGGATAAATTATTGTGAACTTTGCTGGCCACCCAGCTATTAGGACACGAATACACATGAGGCCATGTCACCGAGGTGGCAGTTGAGCCAGCCATTTGGTCCATGTGTCGAAAGTTCCTTTGCCAAGTCCAATCAGTGCACTCCCCCCGGTTCTGTTAAGTTGTCGCTGGCAGCAAGATGATATTCTGATGCCAAACCTCTGCTTCAGTGGTTCTTCCTTGGTTTCTACTTGCAGTAGTGTAGGGGAAGCCTCCATAGGTACAAACACATACACTGAGGTCAGGCCTCCTTTGTGAGTTTCACTGTTGAAGATGTAGCCTAGCAACAGGCCAGTTTCATCACAAAGTGGTGGATGTTCAAAGGATTTTCTCCACAGGAACCCATTTTTCCCATACAGACCCCCTCCGGTAGTCTCGCCTTACAATCCACACTCTTTAAATCTTCCGCAATGGGCCCTGTGCGAAAAAGCTTGAGCACTGTAAACACATGCCAACACAACAAGAGTGAATAACCGCGACTAACAGATATCAGAAACGAGATTAAGCGAGATTTTGAGACAGGTATCACAAATTATAATAATCCTCAAGCCAGATGAGGTTACAAATAACAACAGTTATAATAATCCTCAATCCAATGGAAGTTCCCAATGGAAGTTAAGGCAGATTAGGTACATAATAAGAAAATTTATAATATTCCACAAGTCAGAGGTACTTCCCAGGGCATAAGTCTTTAGGGGCAATAAGACACATGTTATAAAGTCTTTGCGGTCAATAAGACACACGTTTCGAACCATCGACCAATGCAAATTTTGCTCTTCATGTAGGATGCATGTGCTTGAGAGTGAAACTGCGGTCGGACTGGAGGAGGCAGACAGTCCCATCAAGGTCTGGTGCACCATTATTTTACTTTTTTCTCCATGTGGGATAGTGGAGGGCCTGTACATAGTGCTACTGGAGGTGTATGAACAGGCCATAATGGTAAAACAGAACCGTCCGTAAGATGCTCCTATTTTCCGGTCGTTCATGGTAAGTTATGTGAACTTTTCTGGCCACCCAGGTATTAATACAGGAACAGACATGAGGCCAGCTTGCAGTCCATGTCAACAAGGTGCCCGTAGAGCCAGCCATTGCTCCATGTGTCAAAATTTCCATTGCCACGTCCAATTAATGAAATCTCCCGGGATACATGAAGTTGGCGCTGGCAGCAACATTTTATTCTGTTGGCCCCGCATCTGTTCAGTGATTCTTCCAAGGTCGGTATTGGCAGTTGAAGAGGGCAGGCATCCATTGGTGTTAACATGTACACTGAGATCAGATCTTCCATTGTGAGATACTCTGTTGAAGATGTAGCCTAGCAACAGGCCAGTTACATCACAAAGTGGTTGATGTTCAAAGAGGATTTTCGCCATAGGAATCCATTCACCCCATACTATCCACTCCAGTAATCTCACCTTACAATACACAGTCTTTACATGTGCCCCAATGGTCCCAGTGCAAAAAAAACTGCAGCACTGTAAACACATGCCACAGTAGCAAGGAAAGATAATGGCAACTTAGTGATCATAAGAATAAAGATACAGCAAGACTTTGATACATTAAACAAAAATTATGATAATCCTTAAGGCAGATTAGGTACCTAATAAGAAAATTTATAATATTCCTCAAGTCAGACGACGTTCCCAGGGCAGAAACCTTTAGGGGCAACAAGACACATGTTATGAATCCACCAACAAAACTGTCCGGTAAGATGCTCCTACCTTCTGGACGTGCAGGATATAAAACTGTGAAGACTGGTGGGCACACGGCGGTAATGCCAGGATACACAGGATTCTAGCTTCCAGGCCAAGTTCTCCAGGTGCCAGGAGAGCCAGACGTCACTGGTCCATGTGTCAAAAGGTGTATGACCACGTCCACTCGATGGAGTCTCCATGATTCCGTGCTGTTGGCGGCGAAACAAAGATGTTATTCTGCTTGCCAAATGTCGGCTTCAATTTTTCTTCCTTGGTTTGTACCTGCAGTTGTATAGGGGAGGCATCCATAGGTGTTAACATGTAACCTGAGCTCAGGACTTCCTTTCTGAGCTCCTCTGTTGATGCTGTAGCCTAGCAACAGGCCAGTTACATCACAGAGTGCTCCAAGATCAGTGAGGATCCTGGCGATAGCAATCCCATCTTCCCCACACCGCCCCCCCCAATATTCTGGACCTACAATCCATGCTCTATAAATCTTCCACAATGGTCCATGTGTGGGAAAGCTGTAGCAGAGTAACCGTGCGAAAGAGCAAGAGAGGGTAACAGCAACTTGGAGACCATGAGAATTAAGATACCGCAAGATTTTGATACACGTAACAAAAATTATCATAATACTCAAGCCAGATGAGTTTACTAATAACAAAGGTTACAATAATCCTCAATCCATGGAAGTTCCCAATGCATAAAGACTTGAGGGGTGATAAGACACATGCTTGAAAGCCACCAACATTGGCAAATCTTGTCCTTCAGGTAGGATGCATGCATGAGAGTGGATCTGTGATAGGACTAGAGCAGGCAGGCGGTTCCTTCAAGCTGTAGTGTACCATACGTTTAATTCTTTCCACGTCAGGTTCACCGAGGGCTATATATATATAGTGCTACTGGAGGTGCATGAACAGGTAATAATGGTAAAACAGAACTGTCCGTAAGATGCTCCTATTTTCCGGTCGTTCATGGTAAGTTATGTGAACTTTTCTGGCCACCCAGTTATTAATACAGGAATCGACATGAGTCCAGCTTGCAGTACATGTCAACAAGGTGCCTGTAGAGCCAGCCATTGCTCCATGTGTCAAAATTTCCATTGCCATGTCCAATTAATGAAATCTCCCGGGATACATGAAGTTGGCGCTGGCAGCAACATTTCATTCTGTTGGCCCCGCATCTCTTCAGTGATTCTTCCAAGGTCGGTATTGGCAGATGAAGAGGGCAGGCATCCATTGTTGTTAACATGTACCCTGAGATCAGATCTTCCATTGTGAGATACTCCGTTGAAGATGTAGCCTAGCAACAAGCCAGTTACATCACAAAGTGGTTGATGGTCAAAGAAGATTTTCACCATAGGAATCCATTCACCCCATACTATCCACTCCAGTAATCTCACCTTATAATACACAGTCTTTACATGTGCCCCAATGGTCCCAGTGCAAAAAAACTGCAGCACTGTAAACACATGTCACAGTAGCAAGGAAAGATAATGGCAACTTAGTGATCATAAGAATAAAGATACAGCAAGATTTTGATACATTAAACAAAAATTATAATAATCCTTAAGGCAGATTAGGTACCTACTAAGAAATTTTATAATATTCCTCAAGTCAGAGGAAGTTCCCAGGGCATAAATCTTTAAGGGTAATAAGACACATGTTATGAATCCACCAACAAAACTGTCCGGGTAAGATGCTCCTACCTTCTGGACGTGTAGGATATAAAACTGTGAACTCTGGTGGGCACATGGCGGTTATGCCAGGATACCCAGGATTCTAGCTTCCAGGCCAAGTTCTCCAGGTGCCAGGAGAGGTAGACGTCACTGGTCCATGCGTCAAAAGGTGTATGACCACGTCCACTCGATGTAGTATCCATGATACCATGCTGTTGGCGGCGAAACAAAGATGTTATTCTGCTTGCCAAATGTCCGCTTCAATTTTTCTTCCTTGGTTTGTACCTGCAGTTGTATAGGGGAGGCATCCATAGGTGTTAACATGTAACCTGAGCTCAGGACTTCCTTTCTGACCTCCTCTGTTGACGCTGTAGCCTAGCAACAGACCAGTTACATCACAGAGTTCTCCAAGTTCAGTGAGGATCCTGGCCATAGGAATCCCATCTTCCCCACACTCCCCCCCCCTCCAATATTCTGGACCTACAATCCATGCTCTGTAAATCTTCCAGAATGGTCCCTGTGTGGGAAAGCTGTAGCAGAGTAACTGTGCACAAGAGCAAGAGAGGATAACAGCAACTTGGAGACCATTAGAATTAAGATACCGCAAGATTTTGATACACGTAACAAAAATTATCATAATACTCAAGCCAGATGAGTTTACTAATAACAAAGGTTACAATAATCCTCAATCCATGGAAGTTCCCAATGCATAAAGACTTGAGGGGTGATAAGACACATGCTTGAAAGCCACCAACATTGGCAAATCTTGTCCTTCAGGTAGGATGCATGCATGAGAATGGATCTGTGATAGGACTATAGCAGGCAGG